CTGAAGTAGCCTGCAGTGCTGCATTTAACCACTGCGCCACCTTGGCTCTTTAAATAGACATATTTATTTGCATTGATTTTTACTCTCCTGGGTAATGGACAGTTATTTGAAACTAATTTTCTATTTGCCTCTTGAGTTCTGAGTAATGGAAGCAATTTAAAATGTTGATGCCTTTCATAGAATTTTTGAAAACTTGTCCCGGATTTTATTTGCCAAGTTATTTTTGAAATCTGTAAATATCGTAGCAGGTGGTAGCAACAAAGTTCAAGCATGACTTGGAGAAAATTCCCAAGTAAGTTTTATGGGCTGAAAAGTAGACACTTCAGCAGGAGTCACTTTTGCAAACACAGAGTGTTAGGACTCAAGATTTTATTAGCAATGTAATTTATGTAGAATAATTTTATCTAAGCAAGTGAGCAGTATTGAAAGTCCCATCGAAGAATACAACAGCCTGCTAAAAAGGCTTGCCTTTCAAAGTTCTCATCTCTTTGTAACATGAAGATCTGACCATGTTCATATTTTGTTTTCAAGTAAAAAGCTGTTCAGTAGATTAAAGAGGTGGTGAAATTGCTCCACAACTTCTTCCCCAAGATTACCGATTATCTAATTGTGTCCAGGTGTCTGTGCATGGAGTTGGGGATGTCTATCAAAAGCAATTATGTTTATGTTTATTGATGTTTATTGGTCTTGTATGCCGCCCACTCCCGAAGGACTCCGGGCGGCTTACAATAAACAAGGAAAGGGGATAAATAGACAAAACAACACTTCAACATTCACAGTTACCGTGGGGCTGGGTATTTCAAAAGCCAATTATGGCCAATTATGGTTTAATACCCGCATGGAAGCTTACATGGCCAAAGTGTGACAGAGCATACCAAAATAGGAATATGAAGTTTTTCCTGGGATTTCCTCTGTGGAAATTAGCCAAGATCTCAGAAAAAGGGTGACCCGACAAAAGCGCGCACGACAAAACCGCGCCGACAAAACCGCGCCGTCATCAATGCGCCAACAACAGCGCGCCGACAACAGCACGCCGACAACAGCGTGTCGACAGAAGGGCGATTTAAGTTAAGGTAAGGGTTAGGGTTAGCGTTACGTTTAGGGTTAGGGTTAACGTTAGGGTTAGCGTTAGGGTTAGGTTTAGGTTCACAGCGCGCTTCTGTCACGCTGTTGTCGGCGCAATTCAGCGCTCATTCATCGGTATGGTTTAGAACTCGTGTTTTTTTCACCGCGGTTTAGTTGGGCGCGGTTTTGTCAGTCGCCCTTTTGTCGGTGAACCCAGAAAAAGATGCTACTCTTGCAAACAGGAGCTACATCCATGGTCTTCATGTTTGAAGCATGTTCTTGGAACTGAATTCAAAATTACTGTGCAGCTCTGAAATGCACCCCCTATAATTTCCCATCTTTGCAGATAGCATGCACCTATCCATAATCCTGCATTTGAACATGACAGGAACTGTGTTCCAAACAAGCTAAGAGGTTTGTTTTTTCTGTTTCTCATTTGACACGCTACTCATTTAACTGTTGTCACTTTTGTTTCCAGAAATCCATTGTGTCAATACCCATTTTAAAACTGAAAACGCTAAATGGGAAGAGAAATCAGCATGCAGGCAGGCGACACAGCCTCCAACTTAACAACTACAATTGGGACAGGAATTTCCATCATTAGGTGATGCAGGTGTTGAGTTGTGTCTGATTTTGCCACCTTTTCTTTTTGTTGCAGTTGCTAAACAAATCCCCATTGTCTTTGTTTTAAAGTCAAAAATGGGGAGGAAAGCACATGAACCGCAGATGCTGCGATCATCAAAAATGCACACCCGTTGCCAAGCTCCCAAATTTTGATCGTGGGGACACTGCAACTCTTTTTAAGTCCCAGTACCAATTGCAACTGTAGCACTGTCATAACTTTAAACTGTCATTAAACAAATGGTTGTAAGTTGAGGATTACCTACAAATATAGTTGAGGGGGACAAGTGAAATACAAATCTGTACCCTTGGAGACAGCATCTTTCTTTAAATCCTTAAAGACTGCTCTCTCGCTCTCCTCTCTCTCTCTCTCTCTCTCTGTCTCTCTTCTCTCTTCTTTCTTCTCTCCTCTCTCTCTCTTCTCTCTCTCCCCTCTTCTCTCTCTCTCTTCTCTCTCTCTCTCTTCTCTTTCTCTCTCCCTCCCTCCCTCTCCCGCTCTCTCTCTTTCTCTCTCTCTCTTCTCTCTCTCCTCTCTCTCTCTTCTCTCTCTCCCCTCTTCTCTCTCTCTCTTCTCTCTCTCTCTCTTCTCTTTCTCTCTCCCTCCCTCCCTCTCCCGCTCTCTCTCTTTCTCTCTCTCTCTTCTCTCTCTCCTCTCTCTCTCTTCTCTCTCTCCCCTCTTCTCTCTCTCTCTTCTCTCTCTCTCTCTTCTCTTTCTCTCTCCCTCCCTCCCTCTCCCGCTCTCTCTCTTTCTCTCTCTCTCTTCTCTCTCTCCTCTCTCTCTTCTCTCTCTCTCTCCTCTCTCTCTCTCCTCTCTCTCTTCTCTCTCTCTTCTCTTTCTCTCTCCCTCCCTCCCTCTCCCGCTCTCTCTCTTTCTCTCTCTCTCTTCTCTCTCTCCTCTCTCTCTTCCCTTTCTCTCTCCTCTCTCTCTCTCCTCTCTCTCTTCTCTCTCTCTTCTCTTTCTCTCTCCCTCCCTCTCCCGCTCTCTCTCTCTTTCTCTCTCTCTCTTCTCTCTCCCCTCTTCTCTCTCTCTTCTCTCTCTCTTCTCTCTCTCTTCTCTCTCTCT